TTTTTTAAAAAAAAATTGATTGAAACCCTTTATTTTAAAAAATTTATTGATTTTGACCATTCGTTATAATTTTGTCAACCACTCATCCGATATGATACGTTGCCATTAATGACGACCAATCAATGAGTGGCACGTGGTTAAATGAATCCAAAAATATAGTATCTCGTTGTAAATAAAAAAAGATTTAGAATTAATTTAAATAATATAATAATATAAAAAATGAATGATAAAGACAAATTTCCCTCGACCCCAATATCTTTTTTATTGCAAAAATATGTTAAAACACTAATCTATGTTATCTATTTGTTTTATCTAATAACCATGCACTTAGACCTACCAACTCGCAAACACATAAGAGAATAAAAAAAATAACAATATCAACAAAAGCTCTTATCACAACCCCGATGACAAAAACGTTGACTTCCTAATGCTCGATAATAAATCGAATTCTTATATCCAACTAGTTAAAACTTCCCATTTTTCAACAAGAAATAATAACTTCAATATATGCTTTTGATGAGCCTTCATGCTTATACAAGTAATTGTCATACTAGAAAACAACCAACACTCAACCATAAAACCACCATAGCTCGGAGCGCCACCAACCCAACAACTCTTTTTCGTTCAAAAAAGTGAAAGAAAACGGCCAAAAACCACCAAATCCATCCACAAAACTCGACCCAAGGACAAGCTCAACAGGATCTTCCATTTTCGACCGCGACAATGGTCGTAACCACTTGAAAAATATTCATTGTCCTCTAAACAATCAAATCCTCTTAGAATCTAAGTCAAAGCTTCCAGAAATTGATCAAATTGAACAAGAAATTGATTCCAACCTATTTTTAAAGACCCGTCTTTATCACTAGTTCTAGAGAAATCGGACCATCCAATGATGAAGAAATACTCGCCGGGGTAATCCGAGTTGATAACTACCTTTTTCCTCCCTTGCACAACACTAGTTGAGCCCACTCTTTTACTTTCATAAACCCACGACCTCGAAACACCATAGCTCCAAAAACCTTCCCAAAGCCACCGATCTCTACCGTCACTCACTCAAAATCCTCACCTCACCGTCGTTCTAAAATCCTCACCTACCGAAACCACCTTCGATCCTCAAAACCACGTCCCTACAATTGTAAAATGCAACTACACCAAATCGACTTTCTAAATTGGTTAGAAAATAATAGGGGTGGGTTGCTTTAGACTTTTCATTTTTTAACAAAAAAAATAGTATCATTTTATTATTTAAATTATTTATAATTAATTTTTGATGAAGATATCGTATTTTGGGATCCACTTAATCATATGTCGCGAATGATTGATCGTCGTTAATGGTAACGTGTCATGCCGGATGAACAATGGATGGAGATATAGCAAAAAGTTTAAATCAATAATTTTTTTTAATAATAAAGGGTTTCAATTAAGGTAAAAAACATATAGGATCACAATAAAAAAATTCGAACAATACAAGAACTAAATGTGGGGTAAACTCTATAAAAATTACATAATTTTATGCATAATTTTACACAAATATTAAGGCATCAAATTCTAAAAAACACTAAGGTGCCATATGATAAAACCGAAAATTAAGTATCGAATCTATTAAGTACCGAATTTTAAGTGCTCGAATCTGATAAGTATCGAATATATTCCCGACAAACTCGTTTGGTATTTACCGAAAATTAAGTGTTGAATATAATAAGCATGTTTGATAAGTACTCGTTGCTCGAACATATTAAGGCTATATATATGACAATTTTAACCTTGTAATTGTAACATGATATTTTTTAACACAAATAAAAATATATACATAAATGTATTTATGTGTACAAATAAATAAATAAATAAATCAATAAAAATGATTATTAATAAAAAATTAAATATGGTATAAAATAACATTAATTGTTGTATTATTCATAAAATAAATGAAATCTCAAGTACTAATTAATTCATTTGCAATTTGGTTTCGCAAATTAATCATAAATGTTTGATCGGCTCGTGCTTGTGCCCTTCCTTCGATAAATGATAAATTTGCAGTAATATTTGATGTTTGATGCATCATATAATCGCCATCAAATTGTTCAAAAAAGCTATCGAGTAACAATTGTTCTTCGAAGATAATTATGTATTGCAACACATGCAACAACAATATCTCTCCGAACTACAAATGGATATGGGGCCATTGTCTTTAGAATTGGAAACCTTGCTTTTAGAACGAGCAAATGCTCGTTCAATAACATTCCTCAATTTTGCATGTACATGATTAAACGCTTCTTCTTTTGATCTTGGATGACGACTATTGCGAAAATCGGATAACCAATATCGTGTATTACGATATGGTGCCATAAATCCTCTAGTATGCGCATATGCGGTATCACAAAGATAATATTTATCTCGCCATCAAATATTAATATGATAAATTGCATGAAAAATGTAAAACATTTGGACGTAATACACCTACTAATAACGTAAAAAAAAACAATAAAGGGAATTTTTTTATAAAAAAGAATTTAATAAGAATGAAGCAACTTACCGGGTGAAGGGATGGGAAAATTATTTGATGAGTCATGCATAGTTTCGTTAACACTCTTGAATCATGTGCTACACCTTCCTATCCAGCCCAAACAAAAGTAAAAATCACATCAAAATCACATATTAGAAGGACATTTTGATAGCAATCTCCTCGTCCTCTCCCTTTATATGGGACTTGTTGATCGGGTGATATAACGAGCACGAATTAAAGTCTCATCAAGGACACCTACAACACCCTATAAATAAATAAATAAATTTAGTTAATTTTAAAATACATAAATCAATAAAAAAAATTAAATGTATAACCTAAAATACTTGACGAAGTTGACGGTGATGTTGAACTTGACTTAAATCGAGATAAAATGAAGTAGGTACGACCATTTCTTTTGTAAACTTTAACATTGCTTGCAACACTTCATGGAAATAGTGATGCATTGTTTGAGTTGAATGATTAAATCTTCCTTTCACAAGCACGATTTCAAAAATTTTGACTTAAAATTATCAAAAACATTGCCATTTTTTCTTCAACCTTAATATTACGACTATCTCTCAACCATCCTTTTTGTTTGAAATAATCACATAAATTTAAGAATGCTTCTTTTTTCATTCTCAACATTTCTTGACGATGAGTCGGATTTCCATTAAGGATCTCTAACATATATGCATATCCTTCAAGAGCCGAATCCGTATTTAGTCTTCTTCCAACACGTCTTCTATTAATCCTTTTCGGTATAAGAAGCAACAAAATAATTCTTAAACTCTTTTTTTGCCTATCTCGTCAACATGTTGTTAATTATATATATATAAAAAAGCAAAAGCATGTATCAAAAAACTAACGAGAAATCTAATTAAAGCAAAGATATTCAAATTGAAGTACTTTTATTCAAATAATAATTCTTATGGAAGCAGTAGAAAATCACAATAAAATAAATTATTCTAAAATACTAAACACAAATCATAAGGAAAAATATTCAATTAAAACAATGTCAACTTTTTAGCAACCATTTTGATCCATCCAATTCGACTTCCTCCGACTTTTGAGAAAGGTTTATCCATTACTCCCGATATGCTTTGCTTTCACCAAAAGATAGCACATGCAGCTATATATAAAGGGTCATCAATTCTTAAAGTCTCCATCTCATCTAACTTCTTATTGCACTTTGTTCTATACTCGGGTCCTTCGATTCTTTCAATGTCTTCGATCGCCACCAAATGATCATTAATGTCATCATCCTTAATCTTCTTTCGATGTTTTTCGAGTTTTTTTATTTCATCATTAGGAGTTAAAAATGGAGTTGGAGAATTAGACCCCAAATAAATAAATTCTTCAAAATTTGTTCCAATTGGTTCGATTGGCATAGAAGAAGCAACTCCATTTATGGGCATTGTGTCTTTAGAAGGACCCCAAATTTCTTTTTCGAGTGGCTGAAATTCCATCAAATAATGATTTCATCTCATCCGAAAACTACAAACCAACATAACGAAACCGTTTCGCATCACTATTGTTCCGTTACATAAATATATGAAATCAATAATATTATTAATTGCTTTCACTCTACTAGGGAATGAAATTTATAAAAAAAATAATATCCGTTCATAATCGTCCCACTCTTGTGCAGTCCAATTGACGGTATTAGTTATTGGATCATAACCATACCCACTTTTATCTATTAGTTTTGACCATACTATGTACTTCTTTTTCAAATACGTCAACTCATTCTTTAGTTGTTTTTGAGAAAACTTAATGCCTTTCTTTTCCTCAAATGCTTTCACTACATTGTCCCATGATTCTTTTTTTAAGCTCCCTCCATTTTTTCCAAGAATACTCACTTGTTCAATGCATGTATCCAAATTTTTTTTACTATTTTAGGGTCCTTCCAATTGGCTCTAAGCACTATCTTCGAAGCTATCCTACACATAATAAAATTATTATACCAAAAGTCACATTACTACAATCTTAGAACTCAAAATTACACCATAAAAACTACCTTAACTTGTTTAAAAAAATAATTAAACTGATTGAGGAAGAGAGAAATTATTCACATTACGTTAAAATTAATGTATAGGAATGATAACCGATAGGCAATGCAAAGATCTATTAAAACTTACAAACAATGCCAAGAAAGCAATGAAAAATGGCAATTAAATCTCTTTTGATTAATTTAGAGGCTGACTCATACGGATGTGAAGCACTGCAACCGAATGCCAACCAATAGCACGACAAGCTAGACAGACATTACTTACGAACATATATTGGTTTTTTCCTAAAATTCTCTCAACAAGTTAAAAGATTCATATAAAAGAGCAAAACAAGAATGGGGGCACATTCATAAACACTTGATAGAATAGACGAGTTATTCAAATTCACAATTCATAAACATTAGCAACACAATGCCATTCCCACAATGCCATTTTCGAGTACGAGTGGCATGATAAGTAAATTAATCAAAATCCAAACCCATTGTCATTTACCTCTCCTCCAAAACTCTCTGTACGGACTTCCCCTTCCTATTCCCCTTCTCCCTCGACTCATCACTTCGGTCTCTCCCCATCTCCTTCTCTCTCACTCGTCACTCCATACTACGGAAAGCTTCAAAAGTCTCTCTCTCTCAATCCCGCACACGAACCGTCACTCACGGCACACTACTATACTCTCTCTATTTTTCTTCCTCTTTACCAACACTATCGTCACTCACGGCCACAGCAGGATTCATCCAAGAGCCACTAGTTGCGATCGATCTTATTCTAAAAGCCGCAGCTCGTGGTCGAAGTTTAAGTCGAGCGAGGAGCCGGAGGTTGATCTTATTCTAAAGACCAAGAACAAGAGTAAAAATTTGAAGAATTTTATTAGGAATAGTTGCTGCATTTCGGGAAAATTCGGGTTTTTGTTCGTCCGTTCTTCATTTACGGGTAGGGGTTTTGATGTTCTTCGCATTTTTGGTTTCTGCTTTGGGTTTTGATGTTCTTTCAATTCGATTCTCGGTTCCTCAGCTTCGATTATTATTATTATTATTCTCTTTTCCTTAAAATTCTCAGGCAGCCATAATCCTTAAATCAAACCCTAAATCATTCAATCAAAACGAGTACAAGATCCACTAAGCACATGCTAATAAGCAAGCATGCCAATCCGACGAGTGGAGGCGGTATAGAAATTTGTCCACACCGTACCAATTTAGCTATGTTTGACATCACCGGGTTTTCGGACACCATAACGAAGCTAATTTAGGTTTATCAAAATTGACTTTTACAACACTATTAAATAAAAATAGGTAAATTAGGCAAATCTTGATTACTTGTTTGGTGTTCTTGGTATCAATAAAAGCCTCTCTATAGTCATGAAATAAAGCTAAAATAGCTCTCAATGAACATAATATTTAGTCCTATTCTCTCTCAACCAAAACTAATATATATATAAAACCAACAAGATCAACAAAGAAATTGCCTTAATTTAACAAAAACCCGAAACTAAAACATATCAATCTACAAAAAGAATCAACTTTTTTGTAAAAAATTATACAAAAGAAAAAACAATCAAGATATCAACGGACACAAAAGGAAATCATCTACAATGGAATAAAAGAAAAATTACCTGCGATAGGACTTGACCTTGACGTCTCGGATTCCTAGTAGTTTGTTGATGATGATAAGATGAAAGCACCGATAATGGAGAATGTCTTTTTTGTTTCGCCAATGGGAATAGTAGAGATTGTTTTTTTAGTTGGTTTGTATAGCTAAAGTTATAAAAATATATGAGGGCTATATAGTCATATTTAAAAAGTTCTAAAAATATTTCGACTAAGCGTGTTAATCAAAAAGTAATAGGTTAAAAATTTTAACTTACCTAATTAAGTAGATTTTGATCGAACTTATTTAGATTATTTAGGTTATCAAACAAACTTATTATATTAAGTACTATAATTTAATTTTTTAAGCTACTTAATTAGGTTATCAAACACTCCTTAATTCTTCATCGAACAAATTAAATTTATTTTTTCGAATCAACTTTTATGTTAATCGAATACATATTAAGGAACCAAATATAATAACCTTTAAGGTTCATATTTTGTGTTCATTTTATAGTATATTAGATTTTGTAAATCAAATGATCAAATGCCACCATAGAATGTTAAATATACCCAATACAAACCCAACATTAATTTTCACTGAATTTCAATATGGTGAATTAAACTCGAACTATTCTACTAAATTCATCATTTATTCTTACAAGGGTTAATTGATACATTTTTTTTTCTTTTTTCTTTTTTTGGAAGGTTATTGGGTTTCAGTAACACCAACCGGGGACGATTCCTTCTCTTCCTCAAATTCCATCCATATATGTGTGTGAGAGAGAGATCAGAATCTAAGATTTCTAAATTAGAAATTTCTAGCTAGTTTTAATTTTAGGCAAGAAAATGTATTTTTGTTCTGTTATCTATAATTCACATTGAGGGCCTCTATGTAACTAGTAGCCACATTGGGGCCAAGCGATCTAACACATAATTGGTCACAAAACAAAAGCAAGACAAGACAATACAACACTATCAACTAGAAACGTGATTGGAAAGAGACATGTTTCTCCCAAATTATATATCAAAGTGGATAAAATTTTGAAGCTTTTGGAATGGGGTTAGAGATGCTCTGGCAACAATAATGCAAAAGCACAGGCCATGATGCTCAGATGAAACCAAATGCGGTCTCTGGTGGGGAGCGATTATAACTTGTAAAATAGATTGGAAAGCATAGAATGTTTCCAAACAGAAATCTATGGTTAAGCAAAGGTCCAAACCATCTACCTCTCTCACCCCTTTTTCTTCTTTTGGCATCTTTTTGGATTTGATTGTGAAATGTTTGGTCACAATAGTTTTTAAGAGACATGCCATCCAAGCAGTGTAGGGGATACAACATCTACATTTGACAATTCTAGCCATAAGCAGGCTCTCCTATCGATTATCTCTTACGTGCATCCATAGGTTGCAATACAAAGGTTATGGGTCATCATGTTTTGGTCCAGAGGCTCCACATATATGTTAATGGACTCATTTCTTTGATAATAGATGTCTAGTCTAACTGTCGTTCTCGTTTAAGAAGGGGGTTGAGACTTAAATTTCAGTCCTAATCCTAACTTTTTTTCCATTAGTCTTTTTAGGATAAAATGAATAATTGATGGGAGAAATCATGGAGTTCAGATAATCGTGGGCACGCATCATTTCTGACTGTAATTCTATCCATGTCGTGTTTGGCTAAAGATGTCGCGTTCGATTTGTCAATGTACTGGCAAGAACTACATGGTCAATACAAGGAATTGTAATTGATATATATTTATTTAGTAGTTACCAGTGAGAATCCAACAACCGACCTTAGCTCAGTTGGCAGAGCGGAGGACTGTAGTTGGTTCTAACAGACAATCCTTAGGTCGCTGGTTCGAATCCGGCAGGTCGGATTTTTTATTTTCCATGGACATTTATAATCACACACTATCAATTTATAGCAGCACTCCATTTTAATTAATACCCAAATGTATTTGTTTTAATATCAATGGAGTATCATTATGAATTGGTAGAATGGCATGGCCATCACCCATTTTTTATACCTTGAACAATTTGACACTATTAGCAAATCCAACTTCTTATCGAAGTCTCGATGAAAAGAAAAACCTTAGCTTCTGTTTCAATATTTCAGGTCATAACATTGTCAAAATATATTAATATTTCAATATTTTTTGCTTAGACTTAAAACATAAATAACTTCAAACTTTCTTTAATATGTTAAAAAATCTAACTTTTTTGCAAAGAGACGTGAATAATATAATTTAATTTGAAAATTTGATATGCAGCTTTATTCTCTAATTATTCGTCTAATTCATGGAAGGGAATCAAATTGCAAAGATGCATAAATTTACATCATATGCTGAGAATGCAAGAAAGTTGAATTACTCAATTCAGGAATTATAAAAAAGGAATGAAGAGGAGCCTCGAGTTAATGCTATTTTACATAGATGGCATCCTTCACAATATAAATACATAGCAAAACATTAACTATCTAAGGATGATACTGTACAATCGCTTTTGGGCAAGGGAACCCAGTAAATATTCTTAGTTGTAATAAACATAAAATAAGATGATATTCTCCTACATTACAAAATCGATATCAGACTTCAACTGGACAGAAGATCAAAACACCTGGGCTGATCACCTCCTCAAAGATTTCAGACCTGCAACAACATTCAAAGTAGTTGGATCAACAAATTACAAGTTACTGCTCAAGTATGGTTGTTTTACGAATGCAGAGAAAACTGAAAGAAGGCTTTGTAAACTGTTTGTTCAGAAGCAAATAAAAAAAGGCACTTCTAAATTGGAATTAAGCAGATGTTGGACAATGCTCTTCTGACAGACGCACACTAGACAGTGGCTAGATTAAGAGATAATATACAACATAAGAATATCCAAGAATGGACAAGTCAAAAACACAGAAATTTCATTCCAGAGAAATAAGAAAAATCACAAATAAGCCACAGTGAAAAAAAACCCATTAAGCTCCGAAGATCAAGAATGGTTCAAGTGCATGAAATTAGAGCACAAACAAAAACACATACGAGTAACATAGCAGCTGCGTGATTATGGCTCCCGTTTCACGAGAGGTTGGTACTGAAAAGTTGTACTGTATCCTCACTTAAACAACCAAGTAAACCTTGGCAGTGTGTGCTTGAATACTTCACATCATAAATAAAATGCTGGTGTGACTTTAGACGTTGAACAACTGTAAAAGATGGCAACTCTTGCAAGATCAATCCACAAGCAGCTTCATCCCCAGCGGCAAATAGAGGCTTCTGATTCCCTCTGTCTATGATGCTAGATTTGGGCAGTCTAATATCACTTACGGTAGCACATGCAATACCCAATTTCTCATAATTGCTGCCTAATCTCTTCAAATGAAGATGGGAACCCAGTACTCCTTGCCCAGTAGCAAGGGAAGGTGTAAGTAAAGGTTGAGAAACAGCCTCATGAGACAATTCAACTCTGGGACGATATGAAACAACAATGTCATCACTGCTCGTACAATAAGCAAGGGATATACAAACTCCTTGATTTGTTGTTTCAGGAATAGAAAATGGCCTTCGTGGGGGCGAAAAAAAAAAGGAAATTTTATTAGCACAACCATCATTCATTAGTCATTAAAAAAATGAGAAATTTCCGAATTGCTTGAATAAAAAAAATCACATCCAAATGATATTGCTAACTACAGAGTGGATAATCTAAACAGATGGTGTTAAAAGCAAAAGCCTGAGAAAATTGTATGATCTGTGAATGAAAACAAAGGGGATTAGAAATGCAATATCTACCTCACGAATAAAAGTTAAAACAGCAAACAATAACAAGTTAACAAACACTACTTTTATTGACTCGGTAACATCAATAATACCAGAACAAGAATTAAATACAAATAAAAGGCTGAGCAAAATTTTTAGGCATTGATGACCAACAAAAGCAAACCAAACCAAGGGGTAAGCTTAAGACATACTAATAGAATAAGGAAACAAGACAAAATCTTTTGAGATCCATATTCATAATATGACTACAGTAAAGAATAATGAATGTGAAGTGAATGGACATCATGGCTGTGTTGTGATTAAGCACAACTTTATGACCTTTTCTTCCATGTGCATGTTTGTGATACATTCAAGTGACAACTATTAATGAAAAAAGCACTACTCAAAAACCAAACATCAACGCCATACACATAAACTAATAGCATCACACCTTTCTTCCTCACCACCAAAGTTCCATTGACACATCCCAATGGAGGAAGCAGATACCACTGCTTTAACACCAGAAGGAAGAGTTGAGATATGTTTAAGGGAATGTACTGTATGAATTGGGTTGGTTGTAAGCCCTAATCTGGATTCTACAGGACCCGCAGTTCTACGCATATCAAACACCAAAAGTGAACCATTCTGCAAGAAGGAAAAAAATGAAAAGCTCCATATATGGAACCTGGAGTATTATGATGAGCGAACGAGCTTAATGTTAAGACCTGTAGTCCAGCATATACATAATGTGAGCAGTTAAGATCCCATGAGCAAGACCAAGCAGCAGCCTGTGAAGCGCAACACCAATATTGGTGAGAACTCAGTAGATTACTCAAAAATCAGACGTATTAAACCTGTTACTTTAGTAACAATAACAGCACCATACAGTAAAGGAATCACCAATATGTTTTGATGTATATGCAAACAAGAGAGCGAGTCCCATTAAATAATTAATGAAGTGATGCTTCTTGAAGCTTATTAAAAAGAATTTCCAAAATAACCAACTTCATATCATCATGAAAATGACTAAATTACAGCAAACTGTAGCATCAAAGGTAAATCAACGAGTTTACAGCTACGGATGCGGGGAAGGGATAGCTCAAACACTGGATAGGCATGAAATTTAAGTTAGGCTCGGAAGAGCTTATGATCAACTATCAGGGAAAATGGCCGGCCTGCCCCATTGGAAATATTGGTCTCATAGTGCTCCAAATTTATACTAGATATGTTTAGTAACTTGTAACCATGTTTCTCAAAAAAAACAAACTAGCTCTTTCTAAATTTCCTTATACATATAAGCGATTTCAGATTAGCAGCAACAATTGTTCAAATAAAATACAATAATTCATGATTTCTGTGAATCCAAATCAACAATCTAGTTCAAGAGGAAACAACATGAACCTTAATGTTATACTGTAAGATCTCATTAATAACCAATGTCATAGAAAATGGATAAAAAGATTTACCGGCAAGTCATAAGAAAGGATGACATTGTTGCTCTCCATACTGATACAAGCAAAAACACCAAGTTAGCTATCAGAGAGAATATAATAAGAGCAGGTACACACACACAAAAAAAGAAAAAAGAAAAAGGTCAATATTGCTTGTAGCACCACCTTAGAACTGACAATTTCTTGCCTAAGGAAGCAAAAAGCGCGAGACTTCCATTATAAGGGGAAATATGCAGGTCCTTTATGATTTTTGTGCCAGGAGGAAGGAAAATATCTTCACTATCATGTGGAGGAATCAAGCTCATCTGCAATAAATATATAAATAAACAACTAAATAAAATATAAAATAAACAACTGATAAGGCCATTATAAGTAAACAACAATGCTCTGAAGCCAAATTTCACATTGAGTCCAGAATTTTACTTTGGTAAGTAAGTGTGATCCACCCATCATAGGTACCCTTCGCGCAAGCAATAAAATTTGACCAGAAGCATCAATATCAAACAAACGTGCACCATCCGCCCGCAACTCTCTCTACGATGATAAAAATCATGGCAGTTAACATAAAACTACACATGCAATTGAGGAGACGAGACCTCAATTCAAACAAAAACGAAAAATCAAGTCAAAGATGGGTGAGGGATACGAGAATCAGTACTCTAAAGACAGCTACAAAATTGAATGACTATCATAAAATTGGATATTGTAACATGAAGGAAAGGTTGTGTGATGATAACAGAGCCAGCAGTGTCGTAGTCATCAGAGTTGGTCTATGCTTTAGCCAAAAAGAAGATGGGATGAAGAGAGTTTCTAGTTAGATTACATGCCCAAACTTTGGAAAATCTAGATAGACTTTCAAACATGTAGAACTGATGCCATAGATTTAAAATAATGATTAGAAGCTGAGCATAGGGTAGAGAGGCTGAAATGTTTTGATTTTAGAAAATAAAACAATTCAAAACAAATCAAAACAATGGAAAAGATAAGTAGTACAAACAACTCTCAGGGAACTTACAAAAGAATGAAAAACATATATAAAATACAAGTTAGTGTAAGAATGTTGTAGAGCAGAAGTGAACAGAAGTACTTATGCACACAAGGAAGATTTTGGAAAATTCAACCAGCAATTTGCTTAGCCCCACTAAGGAGTCAATCAGATGAACCACAGGTACAAATATTGACATCATTGCAACAAATCTAAACAAAAGAAAATTAATGGTACATTTTAATTCAGTACTTGGAGATGCGGCTCATATAACAATAATTTACAATAACTATCCATATTATTTGACCAGAAACAAGCAACGAATAAAAGATTAAAAAAGTGTAACTTTTAGAAACTAATGGCTGCATAAAGAACCAAAAATTGTTGTTATGCTAGGTTGACAACTGACAAGCATGCATCTCCTATTGAGAAAGTTGGTATAAAATATTGAGAGGCTTAGTACCTAGTATTGGAATGCAAATCTTGTATACATATATATACATAAAACATTCTACTTGTTATGAGCCATAGATGAGAGAACCAAAGTGTAACAGACAGCAAGCATTGCCGCACCTGTAACATAAAACTGCTTGAAGATCGTTGCCCGTAGAAATCAGAGTAGATGCTATTTCCTAGAATGTACACAGTAGAAAAAAAAATTCATAATTTTCAGAGGGAAGCAAAGCAACAGAATTTTGTCCTTAAGAATAGCCATAAAGGAAACTAACAAAAGTAAAAAAGATATAGAAAGGGGGGAAAAAGGACAAAGAAGAAGAAAGGCATTCACTGACATAAAACCATTCAAAATATCCTCAAAAGGTGAACATAATGGTGATCGTAAAATTAATATTTGAAAAAGGTAATTTTCAAAATGGAACATACCCACAAGCAATGCATGAAGCATGCGTATGTTACATGTGAAAAGATGCTTACCAGATTCATATTGTCCTTGTGAGCCCCTAACAGCAGTGGCAAACCCAGATTGCCTGCTCTGCAAATCTCCTAATAAATGCTCCAAATAAGTTGTTCTCTACAAAGAGAAAAGTTTAAACCAAAAAAGCAATAAAGAATAACAAACCTAAAAGAGATCCAAAACAGACATTTTCTTCCACCCATGATGAATTTGGATTTTTATACTTAACTTCAGGTTTCTTCCATCCACTTAAACACAGATTATAACTTTAACCAAATCATTTCTCTTAATCATGCAAATTTAGACAGATATAGTTTCCAAACTTAGTTTCTAAATCTTAAATCTTGATAAAAATGCAAAACCTCTCTTAATGGAAATAACTAAACAAGTACCCAGCTAAACGAACATGTAATGTGGCCAAGACACAAGTAATAACTCACTGCACAAGCATAAATTGTTATCGCTTGAAAATGGAACAGAAAGAGTCAGGCGCTAGCAAAGATAATGCTCAACAGCTAAACACAAGAAGCACCCACTCAAAGCAAACTATGGCCAGTAACAGCCAGTAACAGAAACAATGGGAAGATTCAAATTGTGATTTTCATAACATGGAAAACAAGTTCTATTGCTTATGAAACTTGTGTGAGGATGTGATCACAAAGGTAAACATTACAACTATAACCATACCACTTTACACTTTTGAAGTTCAAGTTGCATTGCAGCTTCTCTCCTTTTCCATTCAGTTTCTTTCTTACACATATCAGCATCCTACAAATACAAGCAGAAAAGTAACACTTACTGTAGAAAACAAACATCTTTTCGTTCCTTTTTATCTTTTCTACCCAGTAAAAAGCGTACCTTTTTTACAAAAGAAGCACATTTTTCTTCAAGAAATCGAATTCTCTGCAAATAAGAACGCTCATTATTACCCTAATAAATTTCTCCAAAACACAAACATCCATCAAACTTATTAGTACCTTCTGTGATTCTTCATCAACAACAGCAATCCTCGGTGCAAACAATTTCCTAACATCCTTCAGTGCACTTTTTCTATTACATTGAGGACACTAAAATGATAAAATAAAATAAATAAAAATTACTAAACCGTATAATCAGATGTAAATGAGTGAATTCTGAAATCAAATTCTAGAAAACACAGCACATTCAATCAAATACCTTGGCCAACCTTCCACGTTGCCTTAACCATTTCTCAATGCAAGAAAGACCAAACAAATGCCCACAAGGAAGACAACTAATAAACAAATTTTAAAATAAATAAATAAATAAATAAGAAATTGAAGAAGTCAAGAAACTGAAGAAATTAAACTTATATAAACAACGCACCAGATATGATGGTCGCCTTCACTGGTCCATGCTTCCATACAAATAGGGCAGAAAAGGCCATCAATTTCACTCCGGTTCGATTGACTACTTTGAGAGCTCTCTCCACCATCATTTCCTCCATGAGAGCAATACGTGTCTCCTCTATCTCCTAATTTCTCTACTCTTCTTCGCTTATTTCTCTCCTCTTCTACTTCTACTCCTAAATCTTCTTCTTGTAAGTTCCTATTTTCTGCTGCTGTTGTTGTTTCTTGGTCGGAATTTACCAAAACCTCAGGTGAAGAATCCAATTCTACAACGGGAATGGAATCCTCCTCTTCCTCCTCGAAGTATTCCGACTGCGACTCCGGTTCGGATTCGGATAATTCAAATTCGGGTTCCAATCCCATTTCTAATAATTGCATTGCTTCGAAGTCGGCTTCCTGTTCGTCTGCGATGTACGGTTCCGCCATGAATTCTTCAATTTAATGAAGAAAAGAAGAGTTATCGTGTAGTATTAGCGTTGTTTTCTCCTTCTCTTTTGAGAGGGAAAGTTGAAGCGTGGCTAACTGCTAAGCACTCCTGGTCCTGGTGGGTAAATTGATAAAAACAATTTAACTCGAGGCCCAACTGGGTTGATTAGCGTTAGAAAATTGTTTTACTATTCATGCTAATATACACCCACACACTATTTAATGACTATTTATCATACAATCTGTATAAGGGAGGGGCATGGCATTTTCGTGATTTTAAGGATATCTTGGGATATTTATATACCAATTTTTCCGATGTTCCATTTTAGTCTCTTATGTTTTCAAAAATATTTATTTTGATTTTCAAATGTATTTGCATCACAATTTGGTACTTGCATATAGAGACAGGATAGAAAAAGCTCAGTCTCTTTTATGACCAATCTTGATTTCATATTGTTTATCTTAGTAAAGAAAATGTGTTCAAGATAGATTCAAACTATAAAATGATTGAAGTAGGTAGATCAAAATAAAACAAAAATTACAATTTTGGATGTGATAGCTTTGAAATTTTTTCGTTCCTTGATCTTTTTATTCAATTTCTTTTTTTTTTTTTTTTATAATTGAATTGGGTGTTAAAATTATAGAAAACTAATCATTTTTTTTTCATTTTTCTACACGGATTGACAATGATGAAATATAGATGACATGTTTTCAAAATTTAGAATGAACATATATATATATTACTCTTATTATTTAAAATTAATTTTTTTATTTATCGTTTATTATGGAAATTCTCATGAAATTAATTTTTTATTTTTTTATATATAATTTTATTTGTTAATAAATTTGATTTATTTATCTCTATGTATGGACTTTTTAATACAATTTTAAAATATGATTATTTTAATTTTTTTTTTAATGTATTGACATAATTCATTTGATGAATTCTAATGATTTTTAAATGAAAGTGTTAAAAAACTAAAAGTATATTCAAATAATTTGTCTCAATCTTTTTTTAAAAATAAATAATCAATTAAAAAAATAGAGTCCACATGTTTTATTTGCTTCTTCTCTGTATAATCAAAATTTATCGAAATCAATTTTGTAATTTTTCTTTTAGTATATTAACTTTAATATATTCCTTGCAATTTAATTATTTTTTTAATATTTTTTATTTATACTGTATATTCTGAATCAATTAAGTATGATTAATGATATATTAAAAAAAAGAGATAATTGATTTTATTAGAAATTAATTATCCATACACACGCATAACATCAACCATTTGCTATTATTATTTTTTTAATATTCTAAAATCAATTTCTTTCAAATAAAATAATTAAAATAATATTTTAGGAGAATCACCCAATTATTCAAATACAACTTTTTATACTAATATTATTGATTGCTTTGTGAATATATATATATATATATATATATATATATATATATATATAAAAAATAATCTTCTCATTAACATTAAATAAGAATGAAAAAACTAATTTATTAATTTTTATACAAGTTTTTACACTAATTGTGGCTTTATTTTTTTCAATGCAGTCTTATGAAAACAAAATTGAGGTATTTTTTAAAATTTTGGGTTAAATATTCTATTTAGATTATTACAAGTTTTTATTTAAAAATAAATATATAAAAAATAAAAAATTGTATTTTAGCTACAAAATTTATGAAAAACATAAAAAAAATAAATTATAAAATTAGATGATTTTTTCTGTACATTTAATTCAATACATTTTAATAAATCCACAATATATTACAATCTATCAAAATAAAATATTTTTTTCAAATAATTTCATATATTATGTTCAATTCACAATATAGTATGAATAATCAACTACTAAGTGTCTATTTGGGTTTTAGAGTTTTAGAGTTGTGTAATTTTTTTAGTGATGGAAAAAAAAATTGAGTTGTTTGGTTAAGTGTACCTTCGAAAGTATATTTATATTGAAAAAATAAATAAAAATCACATATTTCGGATTATATGTGATAAAAATTTGCTAATATTTTAGATTATATTAATATACCTAAATTGAAAGGTATATGGTGTAAAGCTACCCCTAAAAGTTGGAAAAACTTTAAAACATGGCTTCTTATTTTTATTATTATTAATTTTTTTTTTAATCTGAGTACCATGCTATCCTATATTAAAACTATTGCCACTCTTTGTCCCAAATGGATCCCAAGTAGAATCGATTTCGTTGTAGATTTTTTTTTATATGCTTTCTTTGACCTGGAATACCTACACCAATCACCCCAACAAGCAATCCGATCCCATGGGATTTGGGGAAAGCTTCATTTATTTATTTAATAGCCATCAAGTACCTTATATGGTCTAGGTTTCGTTACACAAAAAGCCTTCTATAAACTATAAATAAAAAGTCTACAATTTTAGTGAATACAAATAAAAAATTATACATAATAATAAAAAAATGTATAATAAAAATATTGTTCGCATACAAATCAGATGAACTTTTTATTATTACATTCAGATGTCGTCAAATAAATTTAATAATTACTTATATTTGTTTCGACTCTAATCAAATAACTAATAAGTTGAAAAAAAAATCACTTATTAACTTCAAGTTCTAGGAAAAATTACAAGAGAAATAAAAACGTTTTTATGACTGCAATAGTTCTAAAAATAAGTCATATTTCACGAAAACTGTTCTGAACATATTATTATATTAAAACAAAGAAAGAAAATTAATGATTAGACATTTAATAATTTATTTTAACAAAATATATTCAATTTTTAATAACTTTAGTTTATATTTTTTCAGTAAAATAGATTTAAATATTAATAATTTTAATTTATTTGATTATTGCATAGAACTGCCTTTCATTGGGTAATTCAAGGATCATAAATCTCCGGATGAATCGAAAAAAAAAGGAAAAAAAAGGAAAATTATGGGTATACATAAACGACCAGTCGTTGCAGGCCATAAAAATTTATAGCCATTTTCCCTCAACTTTCTTGGTCTCTTCCTCTAGCAGACGAGGAGGAAAAGAAAGCGAGGAGGTTGCAGTAAGCATGTCTCGTAGCATATCATACATAACAGGGTCTCAGCTTCTGTCTCTTAGGCGCCGTCCAAATATTGCAATCATTGATGTCAGGTAAAAAGAAAATCTCTCTTTTTCTCTTTTTATGTCATTGGATTGGTAATCATGGAAGTGAGGTTTTTTTTTAATCATCAGTAGTGGGGATTTTGAAGGGATGATGAGAGGAGTTATGATGGGCATATAGGAGGGTCTCTGCACTACGCGAGTGATACCTTCACTGATAGGATCTCTAATCTCATTCAAGAGGTTAAAGGGAAAGATACCCTTGTTTTCCATTGCGCTTTAAGCCAGGTTTCTGCCTGTTTACTTCTGTGTTTCTTTTCAATTCAGTTTTCTGTTTATTTTTCTGGGTTTCTATTTTTGATCAGTTTCTAAAGGAATTTGGCCAGTGAATTTTGTGTGATTCCTTTAGCTATAACAAAAGGTCTATTTTTCTAGGCTTGAATACGGTGATCAAATAGTTTTTGTTAATTTAATAGGTCTTTTTGTATATCCTGTGAAATTTACCGTCAAGTAAACAATTTTTGTTAAAAAAATTATTTGGAAATATGTATAAGTTGCTGTTTTTTCATTTTAATCTTGGTTGACACCTTGAACATTTTCCAGTGATCATGAATGTTTGTTATAGATTTATAAATAAGATTGGCTCTACTTACTTACCAGGCGATTTTGTCAATGGGGTTGAGTGTAGGACAAGAGGAATTTTTGTTAATGTAACTATTGGTCAACAGAAAATCATTTTTATTATAATCCATAGCTTGGGAATGATGTATAGGCGGCATGTAGCTTAACTAAGCCTTGTGTTTAATTGCATGGAGAAAAATATATTGTCTTGGTTGTTGAATAATCACAAGGAATTGCACCTTTTCTTGTAAGTACTTGTTCGCATTGGAATTGAGGTCTCAATTGCTTAACTTATATAAGATGTTGCTTATGCTGAACCGATACTGAAGATTCAATGCCTTTCATCTTTATGAAATTGTTCGTTTGAGATTCAAAAGGTCTTATTTTGAAAATCAATTAAATAAATAACTTGTCAAATATAGCTTCTTAAGATGCATTTGTAAGCAACTGAAGGAAGTTTAGAAAATATAGCATCTGACTCTTGGCTTAATAAAACAGGCCTTGAGTTAGTTATTCTAGAACAAAATGCACAAGGGAGAGAGATCAGAAACGGTTCTCAAAAAAATAACCATGTAGCTAAGTAGAAGGTTGGATATTGATAGGGTAAAGGACTTGGAGTACAAGGCAATAACAACCTGTAGACCCATCATCTACCCCAGAAACATGTCATTATGCTTGGAAGTTGGCAGGGTTTCTTTGTGAAAGAATGGATTATTTCTTGGTAGAGCTGCTCCTTTGTGGAACAATGGACTTTGTGACGCCTATAGTGGATCTATGCTTGGGCTTAAACCTGTTTCATTATGTTGGTTATAGACATGGTGGTAAATTATTAGGTTTTCCTCCTTTTCCTTTGATGCTTAGATCTTTGCATTAAAGGATTTTCTAACTTTGTAGTTCGAGTAGGGTCACTTGTGTAATTCTCCTGTAGTTAGTTACGATTTGAAATCTTGTTGAACATTTTTTTTTCCTTATCTATAGAATAAAAACCACAATTTCTTAACAGGTCCTTGTCAGCAATGTCGAAATAGTGCATCAATGTTGTTCATTGAGTCTATCTAGGGAACCTATCAATGTCCCATCCCCTAATGCAAGTTTATGTGAAAGGCATGCGGTGACTGGAAAGAACTAGTCTATAAAATCCTAAAAGGCATGCTCTTGAAAGAAGAGAACTTGGTTGGGTTTTCATGTCATTTATTTGCTATTATTGGACAGCCATTGAACTGCTCTTGCAAAGCCCAATCTTTTCGCTGGAAGAATTGAGCTTTTTTGAAGCATTCTCCCCTAATTAGTTTGCTGAAGCTTAATAATGAGGTTACACGCAGCATAGGGCATTAGTTCTTGTCATTTAATTTTGGAACTGTACAGAAGTGTTCCTGGTCTTGTGCAGCCTTTATATATAATTGGTGATGGGTTTTTCCTCAGGTTCGTGGCCCGACTTGTGCACGAAGGCTTGCCAATTATCTTGAGGAGGTGAAAGAAGATGCAGGAATAAAAAACATTATGGTTTTGGAACGTGGCTTCAATGGCTGGGAAGCTGCCGGCAAACCTATATGTCGCTGCAATGGCATTCCGTGCAAGGATGAAAGTGCTTAGATATTTGATTGTTATGGAGGAGAAGGCAGCATATAATTATATTGTCATAAACTTGCTATGTTTATCGATTACATGTCCAAGTTAAATTCAAAGTGATGATACGCAAAAATTGACCTTTGTTACTGGCGCTATGTCCATGGTGTCTTTAGATGTGCAACAAATAAAATGCTGGAAATGTATCTTTTGTTTTTGATGAATGGAATGTATCTTTTTAACTTGAGAAAACTGCAATTATGGTTCTAACTTTTGATTACTATTTGAGCACACAACTTTCAATTTTATCTAATTAAGTTCATCTTTATTGTTATTATTTTTTTCCTCCAATGCGGTACTCATTCTATTAGTTCAATGGTGATGTGACCATTATCTCATGTTATGTGGCAAAAATGTGGGTCTGGGTGGGAAAAAGATAATTTATATTTAGTACTATTCTTTTATTAAATTAAATTTATATTTGAATACCTCAGTTTCAATTCTATCTATTTGAGTATCTCAACTCTCTCTCGTTTTAATATGGTATTTTTCATGATAATTTAAAAAATTGATGATATAGTTATTATCTTCTGCCAAATGGCCAAAAAGTGGATTTAGATTGAAAAAATTAAAAAAAAAAGTTAATATTGTAAAAGAAAAAGATACAAACCGAAATTAAAATGAAAAAAAAAAGAGATAAAATATCAATCGATATTCGAGATAAGAAACTAATTTACAAAAGCTAAGCTGAATATATTATATGTTAACAATAATAACCAAACTTTATGGTATTACCACAATCATTAGTGACCATAGTTGTCTCAGTAGATCAAGAATTGCCAACACCACGAAGGACCCTTTGCCATCAACATGAATTAAACAACATTGTTGTGGTTGTGGATTTCGGTTCGTATTGATTCGAGTCTTAATAAAAAGGGAGAGTGAAAGAGTAAGACAATTAAAAGGTTTTAAAATGGGCTCCTATCTCTATTGTCAATTAATATTTTACCAATTTTTTTTTCTTTTGACAATATTAATTCATTTTCTATGTTTCAATTCAGATTTTTTTTTTCCAGATAACCATCATGCTATCACTTTTCTAAGTACCAAATTAAAAATGATAATAATAATAATATATTTAAATAAAAATTTAATAAAAGTTAGGTATGAGACATGCATTTTTTCTTTTTTCAATTTGAACACAACTTTTTACCGTATGACATGACATGACATAATCACTTTACTGACTAAACTCACTGTGGATACAACATTAGAAAAAATCAAATTGAGCAACTCAAATAAACAAAATTAAGAGTTAGATACTCGAATAAAAACCAAACCAAAGATTGGTTATCAAATTTATAACTTCTTTGATTTATTTTTTTCATATGTGTAAGTGATAAAAGCTATACTCCTTCTGTTCTAATGTGTTCGTCCATCCTTTTATTTTGCCTTGACCAGTCAATTATTCGGTTTACAATCGTTAATCAGAAGAGAAAAGAAGGGTAAAAAATGTTCAAAAATTATTGTAAATAAATATCTTATCAAAACACAAGAATGTATTTGTATACTTGAAATGTTAGAAATAATTTCAGAGAAAAAGAATAAATAGAGTAAATTTTAAATTATTTTCTTTAGTTCTGTAAAAGGAATTAAATTATCAATCTTGTTTAAAAACAAATTAATTAGTTTCTTAACTAGTGTTAACTATATTCAATTTAATAATATTTTATTTTAAAGAATATTTTATTTTCTCATCCATCTTTTTTATATTATTTACATTTTTTTTTTGTTGAAAAAAAGTCAAAATAAATTGAACTAAAACATGAAATGGATGAAAAGAATCAATTAAACTAGAGGAACTATTTAATTTATTTTGTGAAAATAGAAGAACTAATTTATAATCTATTCGAATAAATAATAATAAAATATTATCATGTATGCTTCAAAATATTTTTCAGGCATTTTCTTCATGATTTTTTTTAAAGATACTTTTAAATTCGTATAACATTAATAAAATTGTCCAGATAAAAAAAAGAAGTTGTAAACATATATGAAACGCAGTCGTTTATGCCATAACGGGATCGAGTACTCTTTTTAACATAAAGAGAAAAATTATCCAAATTTGGAAGAGAATCAATCGCAGACCGATCGACGTTACTCCTCTCTCCGCTCTCTCGCATATCAAACAGATAGTGAGAAGAAGAAGAAGAAGAAGAAGAAAAAGAAAAAGGATGGTAAAGTTATCCTCCTCCTCCTCCTCTTGATTTGATTTCGATAATTTAGTTGTTCTTTCGATTTGATCAAATGATCGCTGGTCTGTGCTTTTTTTAGGTTTGCATAGCGTGCTTGTTACCTCTGTTCCTCATCCCCGTCGTCAATTTTTTACCCGTGCTCTTCTATTTTCTCATGGTAACAACCAGGCCAATTCACTTGTTCACCTTTTTATTTAATTTTTTTTGTTTTCTTAATTTTAGGTTTATGAATTTTTTGTTAGGGAAAAATATATGCGCTGTTTGGATGGGAATACAGGAAACCAGTGAGAGCTCCTCCTGCTTGTCCTTATAAGCCCCCTGCATCCAATATTAACACCACTACAAAAGTCAGTTAGCTCACTTTTTTTACCAATCTTTTCCTTGTGCAATTATCTTCCCTATAATTTTCATAAATCATTTATTATTATCTGTAATTTGACAATCGTGGAAGAAAAAGTGCAAATAAGCAAAATGAACGATACCATGTTTTTTTTACTTCTGGTGATCTTTTCCGAAGGATGCTCTGTGCTAATTCTTTTCTATTTCCGCTAGATTACTAATATGTCGTATTGTTGGTTGTTATTTTGCTATAGATGATTGTGTTTACTTTGTTGCTATCTTGGCGCTTGCCCTGGCAAATTGATTGTGGTTGGATGGCTACATATGTGTGTGTGTGTGTGTGGTGGTTGGGTGTTTAGGGTGTGATTTTTCCTGCATGTTTTGGTGGGTATTCTGCTTTCAATAGTAAGTTTAAATTAGTATTTAACATTTTGTAGCAGATGGAAGCAGAAGGTGAATCAAGTATACAGGAACCTGTTTCGAAACCTGTGGCAGTTGGTGATGGAAAGCAGGACTGAAGTTCGACTGCTTTCATGTGCATGAACATCAGGTATAGAAGGTCACAGAGGTTTTTCTTAATGCAACCTAAGGTCATTGTTAAATTCTAAGGATATTCTACTCTTTCCCTCCCTCAATAATGTTTGTAACTGAACTTTCCTGAAGCGACTGGAGTGTCAAAAGTTTGAATTTGAAATGAACATAAACTCGGTAATTGTGTGCCTGTTTACTATTTTTTGTTGCGTTGATAGTTGCAGTTTTTATAGGCTTCTCTTACATTGCTCTAGGTGAAGCCTTGTGTTAATGCAATTTAGAGAATTATATTGGAGTATTTTTAAGGATTTACATAGGGAATTTAACCATAGGTGGAGGCAGAATATATATACAAAAAAAAACCTTTCAAAAGGATCCTATTCAAGTTGGATGATTGTCTACATGCTACATAATCAGCTTTTTTTGTTTTCGTCTTTTTTCTTTTTTTAGGCGTTAGATTTATATATAGTTGTCCTAACAATCATGAGATGGAGTTGGAGTTGGGAGGACCAGAAAACTAGGTCCCTAGTTGTTGGTTTGAGGTTATGGTCACTAGAACGCCACCTTTTGTATTAAAAGAGGAAACTGCATGCATGGATTTGCTATCTACTTATTAACTTGATTTCAGAGATTAGATAAATAGCAACTGGCAGTTGATGTAGAAAGTAGACAGTGTTTTGATTGATTGACAAATTTGATAACCTTCCCAGCATTTTGATTGATTGGCGAATTCAATAACCTTTCTGGAAGTTCTAAGCTTTGAAGATGATTTAATTGAGTCAGAATGTGGGAGAAGCGGGGATGAAAACTAAATAGAGGAATACTGACGTTTTAAGGATTCTGTCGTGTCTTAGGAAGTTTGTAGTTGTGATCAATGCCACATCTTAAATGTGCACGATGATCTGCCTTTAGTGGAATGGTTGAAATAACTAGTCCTTAACAGGGAACCTAAACTGGTAGAAGCAGTATGCATGCTTTTGTTAACAATTGGAATGCATGGCCAGATAGGACTGCAGCGCACATTAATTCCACAGTTTCCAAACCAATTGAAAGCGATCCTGTACCATTAGGTAAGCTGCATAGCACCTTAGTTTGAAATAGCGGCGTAACAGCCATTATATAACTGTACTGAGCACACACACTACTGTTATTCGTCGTTATAAGGATCTTATAGATGTTTCACACAAATAGGAGAAATAACAGCGTTATATAATGATAACGGCTGTAATTGCCGCTATTTAATAGATATCGGCTGCTATATTTGAAAAAAAAATTCAAAATTTTCGTAATGTATAAATACTATTATGACCCTCCATGACAATCCTTTTGGAGATCAATAGTTTGTAATGTGTATCTTGATATTATAATGTATTTTATTATTTTTTTGTGTGATATTAAATTATTAAAAATATTGTTAAACTTTTTTCTAATAAATTCAATTATAGTTATATGATATTAAATCATTATAGATGATATTATTAATATTTAATTAGTAAAACTGTTAAAAATATGTGAATTAGAATAAATTTATTAACAATTGTTTATGCATTTATGACATTGATGGCTGTGATCGATATTTTACTATCATGATAAGTCATGATTTACAATCGCGATCGCTACTGCTTTTCCAACTGCCTCCGCCATTTAAAGCTATGCATAGCATCATTATTGCCTGGCTGTCTATTACACTGTAAGCTAGAGGATTGCTTAAGGTGTGGAACGTTGGATGTGTCGTGATTCCTTGTATCGCTTGAGCATTTTCGTGATTATTCATGGGAGTAGCTGACTTCTGAAATATCTATTATCGATTTTGATGGTTATACCTAGGCATAAATTCCAGGAGTAAAAAAACTTTTCTGAGATTAAAAATACTATAATTTTCATTCAAACAAACCCTCTATGGCACAATATTAATGGGAAAAAAACAAACTTTGAAGATTTGAATTACATGTGTGAATTTTACAAGTTTATCAAACTTCCTGTTTCCATTTATCTAGAAGTAATTTCTGCATCTCAGAGCTTCCAGTATATGCCCAATTTGTGCAAGATGCCGGAAACTAGTGCCCAGAATGTAATTTGCGCAAATATCACATATAACAGGGTTCCTACCCTCTCTGAGTGCCATACATCATTGAAAACATGTTCTTGGATCCAATAGACCTGTGAGAAGAAGAATTTTTTTTGCCATAAGTTAGGTAATATTTCTAGAAGCTAAAATTATCGAAGTGGTTGTTCGAATACTAAAAGTTAAAACTCATATACAGAAAGACAGAATTACTTACAAGTGTGTTGTCTGGAGACTTGTAATACCATCCATTGATAAACCCTTCAAATATGCCCTGTGCTGCCATCACATAAACAAGCATTGCATTCATTCCTATCCACTCTAGGAACAAAAATGGTGGTCTCAATCCCCAAACATCTATCTGTTCATACAATGCAAACAAAATATTGTGTCAGTCCTCTATGAATCACAGAATTGAAATCCCAAAACTATGTTTGGCAGTCCGTTAGCTGTTTACCAGTACATAGAATCCAGAGAATACAATTCCTGCAGCACCAGCTGTGAAACAGACATAGCTGAAGCTGTAGAGCTGTTTGTTGATAGGAATAGCTGCAAAACAGTGAAGAAATTAACTTTCTAAATTCTGTTTTGATCTTTAATCAACATTTTAAATCTCACACAAGTAACATTTCAGAGTTTGGGATAAAATCGCAAGGGAATTGATCTCACCATCAGTGAAATGGAGAATAATGGCCACGATCAGTAAGATAAGCCCCATTGAGACCCATTGCTTGAGCCTCTCAGCATGACCCTGCATATATTAAGATTCCCATCTCAGTTTTTATGCTTGATAATTACCTTATGCAAGAGCAGAACTTCCAACCTTGAAATGAATCAGAACGTGTCCATAATGGATGCCAATGGTGCCAGAGAGAATAGCTGAGATCGAACTAAGAGAGAAACAGGAACCAATACTCAATTCCACGTATTAATCGTTTCCCTAAATGAAATAATATGAAGCTGATAAAGACGTTAATAAGTTCACCTCAACAAGCCTTCAGGCTCAAATGGTGCACGGCACCAACTAGGAGCATCCTTCCGAAGTGGGCCAGAATTTGGAGAGCTGAGAGTGCAAGCCTGCAAAAGTTATACATACACATATATATAATGGATTGGCTATTTATTGTGGCATATCTAATGTACTTCATGGTGGAAGCAGGAAAAATAGAGAGACAAAAACCTCCTTTTTTAAGCTGAACTCTGCTCGAGTCATAACTAAAATCTGCTCGAGTCATAACTAACCTTTAAGCGGCTCCAAACTGGAGATTGATAGAGATGATTGATGCCCCAGACTTGTCGATCAACATAACCAACAGCATTGCATGCAGGTCCTAAATGCCCTCTCATCCCACATTCAACCTGTAATTAAGTCATAACTAGTCTGGATCAGACACAGATTTTCGTTAATAAAATTAAGGCAGTACAGTAAGTGCATCTTCTTGAATTCATCTCTTTACTAATTACTTCATACCGTGTATCTGCGTCGCTCATGATCGTGCTCGACACTGAAACTCCAATCCGGAACATAAAGTGCAAATGTTGTGACCATATAAATGACAAAAGAAATGAACCCCGCAATCCTAAATTTCACAAGGATCACCATTAGCTTACATATACATAGTTATGTACCATATAGTTCTTTCAATGCAATCAGAAGTTAGTTGGACTGAAACAGCATAATAGCGTAGATACATGAAGTTAAAAGGATTTCCTTGTATGCTTGTACTAACCCTTTAATTCAAGTTCTTCCCCCTAATACCCTTAAAAATCCCTTGTTCTAATTATGGCATAACTTAAGTGTGGTGTTCTCTTACCATTGCCATCGGTATGCAGTGAAAATGGAAAAATGATTGGGCTCTATGGTTTGTCTATGCTTGGGGATTAGAGCCTCTAACAGAGCCACAATCATGTACACCAACGCTATCCTCTGCTCATAGAAAAAGGAAGTAGAGAATATGTAAATATATAATTCTGCTAAGAATTTGCTTAATCATATAGCAATGAAGTTAAAAGGGAAAAAAACCTGAAGAATGCCACACCAGCGAATGAGTTTCATATCTACTCCATAAACGAGGGCATCAGGAGCATGGGAGTATCCTCCTGCATTAATTTGTAGTATTCTGTATGGTTAACAATAGGTTGCAACTTGCAATTGTGCCGTGCATGGTTGCGTCAAGGTTTTTTTTTTTTTTTTCCAATAATTAAAGAAAGCAACGTATCCATACCTTGCAGCAGAATTCCCCAAAATAGAAGCTTCACTGTCCTTAGGAGTATCCTCTTAACTGCGTCCCTCCTCTTCGGAATTCTCTGAAATAATTAGATAAAAAATTTATACGAATATGAGACAAGAATGTATGCTTACAAAGTCATATGTAGTATCTCTAAGCCAAATCTAGTGCTAGGACATGTTTTGAACATCAAAACAAGCAAACAGTGAGAACTGCATCCATCAGTATACAGGGATCTGAAATTGTTGTCATGTTCAAATTTTTTGGTAAAGTTGTGATCACATTGTAATTTGGATTGCTATGTAGAAGCAATGTCCGATATATATATATATATCTGAAGGGTTTGATCACACATTTCTCATATTTGCTTTTATTGCATGTAGTTCCAAATGAAGAGCTTAAGTTATTTGAATTCTATGTTGTATTTATTTCTTCACTTAATGAAAGAAAAACATTAAAATTTAATGGGTAAAATTGAATCTTATTTTTATTTTTAGTTAATCATAAAGCCCACAGTTTTATTCAATTTATATTTCATACGAGGAAGGTGACACTTGAATGATCGATTCATAAATTTTTATTTCATCTCTTAATTAATGAGCCACTTTATGGGTTATTTTTAGGGTAAGAATTAGCATACAATATGCTTGGATAAACTATATATATATATATTATGAACTCCTTAAAAATTTTTGATACACTATTATACTCTTAACACAATATTAACATTTATAATTTATCCAAATATTAATATTTCTGATCTCACCCCACCTTGTAAGAAGGATACCAATATAATAAAATTCTTACGATGCATCTCATTATTATTATTATTATTATTATTTCTCAAAAAATAGCTAATCCAGTTTTTTTTTTTCTTATTTAAAAACTGTATAAAACCTTAAATAACACAAAATAAACTTCTTAAATCATGCATCTCAAACTAATATCATATTTTATTGACACTTTATTTTGACTATTAAAATTTTAAAAATATTTTAAAGTAAGCAAATAAAAAATATATATATCTAAAAAAAATAACATTAAAATTCTATATATACATAATCTTTGGTTACATCTTGGTAATCCTTAACTCCTTTAAATGTAGGGTTCATAAATTTTTTATCATGATTCCTTTTGGTAAACTCTACTAACATTAAAAAAAATCTTTCAAACAAAAGGATTCATAAAATTTCCTCTCCATTCATGTGAATTAATTTCTATTCAAGTTGTATGTAGTTTAAATAAAAAATTTTAGAATAAAAAGTGATCAAAGTCAAAGATTAATCCTTCTCAAACCACCACTTATAATATTCTAATGCTAATTAAATACCCTTGAATACAGCTTTACTTCACACCAAATACCTCATAGGATATAAATAAATTTTATTGAAAAGAGGACTCATTTAAATAAAAGAGTTTATAAATATAAATAGTACTCACAAAATGTGTAATTAAGATCAAATATTTTTTAAAAAAACAATAGATTATTTATTATCATTTTAGTATTTTAATAACTACTAATATTTATTTTTAATCACATTATCAAAATATTATTGCAAATTTCTAACTAATCCTATAAACAAATTAGTGCAAAATTTTATTTTGAAACAGTCAAATTTGTTTTATGCGTTTGAAAGCTAAGATAGATAATTTTATTATAAGTTATGAAATTTTATAGATTAATTTAGGTTTTAAAAACCAAATGTTTTAATTTATTTATTTATAACTAACTCAACACAATCTATTAGATTAGAGAAAAATACTACAGAATAGTTGTTGAATTCGCACCTACCCAAAAAACTAATAAAAAGAAAGGAAGGGGAAAAAAAACAGATAGAAAGAGAGAGGAAGTTTATATATACCTTGAAAGCAAGAGCTATTGCAACTCCCACAATGAAGAGGAAAAAAGGCATCACAAAATCAGCCAACGTGCACCCATTCCATGGTGAATGGTCGATGCGGGCATATGCTCCTCCAGCATCATCTACCAGTATCATCAGCTACACCCAAACACCAACAATATACATCCTTGTTCAAATCAATTTGAGCCAATATCATGCATATAATATTAATAAATACCACTATAATTAATTAATTAATTGTTGTTAAAGGAATGTCTGCGTGCGTGCTTAATTAGTATGTACATTAATGCTCCAAGTCCACTGCTCTAATCATTTGTTGAGTAGTTAGTGGACTAGAAATTGACAGTTAGTATTACTTACTGCAACAGTAAGGCCTCTAAATGCATCCAAAGTTGCAATCCTCTTGCTCCGCAGCTTAACCACCGGCTGCTCCTCTCCTTTTTGCTCAACCAGCTGATCACGAACCGCACTCCTTTCTTCTTTTTCATTGTGGATGTCATCTCCACCATGATCAGTTTTACCTACTTTCTCACTCAAATGGCCATTCTTATCGTCTTTATTTGCAACTTCTGCTGTGTGTCCTAACCCTTCTTCCAATCTCTTGGGATCCTCCATAGCTGATGTTGCTGTAACCTTCCCCTCTCTCTCTCCCTTTGGTGTTATTGATTAACAGACAGTATAAGTCCCATGATACTTGTAGTAATAGTGATAGAAGGAAGACAAGACAAGGACGAGTTTGAGATCAAGTTATAAGCCGGCAATTTTTGTCTCTTAAATACAAGGAGAATTGACAATTGGAACATATACATGACTCGGACCAAACAAAACAAGGACATACTCTTGCCAAGTAAAGACAGACCACTAGTCCAGATTCCCTGGTGGGTACTGCTGAAATTTAAAACACCCATATACATTATTAAATCACGGCAAGGATCGATATATGGTTCATTAAATGACTAAATAATGGTAACTCTACATGATTATATATGCACTGCACGGGCATGAAATTCGTGCATGTTCGATAAAAAATTAATGTCATTTTCAATTTCAATAGCTTGCTGCGTACTCAATAATAACAGGTGTAACTTAATTGCAAGGTAACGGTCGAACTGGGTTGTTTAAGAAGATAACATTAATTTTTCTCTTTACAGTCAAGAACATCTTAAATAAATTTCCCTACATCAAGATTAAGTTCACCTCCGAAATAATTTTAGCTGAAAATCTTCACTCCTCCTCGAACTTAATTATTCTCAATATTGCTAATTTAATCTTAATTATATATGTTGAAAATCAAGTCACGAGTAGGCAATTGGTTCATGTACTTCCAAATACACAATTACACTTAACAGTAAAGAAAATAAGACACAATTACATTTAATTAAGGATTGTAATTGTATCTGTCTGTATGAAGTGTCTCCAATTATCTAGATAGAGGTGGAGGTTGAAACAATTAAAAATTCTTCATTTACTTATACGGAGGTATGTTAGGCGGCATATCCTAATCCGATGCATCTTCATGTTCTTTTTTTTTCCCAGTATTATCTCCGCATCAATTTGGTTTATTGAGAAAAATTTAACTTTTTTTTTTTAAATGCTGTTTTAAAGTTTCAACTTTAAGAATTCAAGATAATAATCGAGCAAACCTCCCTAAATAACGTTAGTGTATCCTCATACACATAAATAATTTATTATATTTATAATTTTTACAATATGTATTTGAATTCATCTATGTAGGTTTTTTTTTTTTTTCTATTATTCCTTAAACTAACTTTGTTTGATACATGTAAAATAATCTATTTTTTCAAATAAATGTAATAAAAATTGATTGGAAGGCGATGAAAGTGTTGAGTTGTAGAAACTGATTTGAATGGAGATCCATATTATAAAACGCTATACAAATGACGATCTTGCTAACCGATAAACGAGCGGACGTCGGGAGCGCAGCGCACTTTGTGGGGGCTCGGGAGCAAAACCTTCGAAAGGTTTATAGAATATTGGACTATGTATATAGGCTCGTTAGATTTTTTTTATTATAACCCTAATTATTTACCTTATAAATAGAGACAACATTATTTGTATTTGTAAATCGTCATTTGATAAGATCCTAATAAGAAATTTTAGTGCGGTTGTGAAGTAGACACAATAATCGAATCACGTAAATTTTATATTATGTGATTGTTTTTATCTTTCTACTCTATTTTATTGTTTGATTCATTTTCTAATAGAAAATAGGTATAAAAGATTAAAAATTGCTTCCAATAAAAATAAAAACAAGTATGGAGAAGGCATTGGTGGATGACGTAAGGATGGCAATGGGGCAAGGTGGGAGCAGGGAACGGGATGCCTTCTTGAAAATTTTATCCCATTCTCGCCTTGTGTCTCGAATAGGGTAAAATTTATCATACCATCCTCGTTCTAAACCGAGATAGGGATCCCCACGGAGCATTGGAGGGGTAAATGAGATAAAAAAATTACTATATTTTTTTTCTTTTTGTCTTATTTTATTTTACTATCAAATTTCAAACTTTAACAAAAAAAAAAATGATTCATATGAAAAATAAATCCTAAAAGTCATTAATTATAAATTTTATATAAAATATAATTATAATTTTAAGAATGAAAACCATAAAATTTAACAAATAAGATGAAACGGAGTTCTATTTGGACGGGATAAATTGCTATACCCAGGGGAGGTGAGAGATGCAATCAGTATGTAAGAAAAGCTGAATAACTGCAAAGCCTGTGTACGTATACTCTAGTCTAGCTGGAGTGGATACATCTGTACAAAACTGGAATCTGCATATTCCTTTCAGTACCCCGACAAGAGGATCTAGTTGTGACTTGTGCATCTTAAACGTGGGTTTGATACCTGATCTGCAAGTACGATATTACTGCAAGAAAGTATACAATGGGGCCGGCTGCACAATCTATACTTATCTATTCAACGCATTGCTAGTTGCTACTTCTAAATAACCCTATCGATTTAATAATTAGGATACTCCCATGTCTTTGATTTTCTTTTTTTTGGCCGTCTAATGGTCTGACTTTACCCTGAGTTGTCCATGCAGGCGTCCAAATTTCCATATAACTTACAGTACATTCATTGATTGATATGGACTACGGTACTAACTAAGGGGCCGCTGACAACAAATTTAAGCCTTTTAAAATTAAAAAATAAAATAAAATTACTCATCAAAACATTTTTTAATAAGAATATTATCAATAACAAAACTATTTAATAATGATATTTTTAATGAATATTCCTTTTACTTATTTGACTTTTGTTATTATTTTGAATTAAATTTTTTTTTTTTTGACAACTTTCATAAAATATTTTAACAACAGCAGCAGCAACAACAACAATAATATATTTTATAAAAAATAGTAAAACCTATTACTCACTTAATTTATTTACATTATTTTAGTATTAAAATAAGTTTTATTTAAATGAAAATTAACTTATTATATTAAACAAGTAAATCGTCTACGTTATTTATAATGTAAAACTTAGAAGTTACATTAATATTGACATATAAATAGATAAGACATCTAAGGTTGTCAAAACATAAAGAGATTGAAGGGAGTCCATCTAAGGCATTAAGATGACATGCATTTCTCTCTCAAATTTTTATTAGCCAAAGAAAAGTGTTTTAATGGTGGATTGTTGTGCTCTCGATCTCACTTGTGCAGTAATATATATAGTAGAGTTAAATGACGTACAATTGGGCTCTTGTATTATAAAGGAGACAAGTTATAGAATGTTTTTTTGTACAGGTTATATGTAAGAATTTTGCCTACCGTAAAATTAATGCTTGCTGAATCTCCTTCAAAAAAAAAAAAAAAAATTACATGTGTCCTAGGCTAGCTCTATGTTGCTACCTAACTTCAATTATGTTTTAATCTTCTAAAAATATTACAATTTATGGTAACAACACTAACAAAAAAAAAATTACAAAAAAAAATTATTTTCAATAAAAATAAAAATAAAAATAAAATTTATTTTTGATAAATTGGGAAAATTGGAGATCAAGCGCCGGTATCCCATTTTTTATTTGAGTTAGTTTCAAAAGATAAAAAATTAAAATGCCAGGATAAATCTCTTAATTAAAGAGGGTCGGGTAGATAAGGAAATTTTTGTTTTTTCCGGCACCAGTGGAATGAAGATCCAGAAGTTAGCTAGGCTTCTAGGAAGGAAATTCCAGTATCGCAGCAGTCAAGCCCGGAAGAGAATGGTGCCAAACCTAAAGAGAAATATCACTTAAAAGAACCAATTCTGACAATAGGTCTAGAACGCTTTGTTTCGATATAGGTTAGGACATGAATAGATTATCAAGATGACAAGATGCATATATATATATATATAATCCATAACCCGAGTGATGCATCACAAATCTAGGATATTAATACTTCAGCACCTTTAATAGACAAAGTGAATAAGATGAAATATAACTTTTTAACTAATTAAAATACTTGTTTTGTCTCTAGCCACTTCTACGTCCATGGCCCAATATGCCCTTAATCAATTATTGCAACTGAAGACCCTTTTTTTTTTCTTTTTTTTTTAAATTACGCCTAAAATATTTTTGTATTTCACAAAACATTAATCATGTAGGCATTTGTGTATCTCTATTTTTTTTTTAATCAAATTCAGTTTTGATTAGTTATTAAGCAAATGGTACTGCTATTCCTTCAAATTTTATACACACTCATCTGTATATTTTTACTTTTAGGATTATCTCAACCAAGAGAATCTTATAACCAAAAAAAAAAAAAAATGATTGCAAACTAAAAAATAAGGTTGTAAACTAAGAAATCAGAAGTCGTAAACGTAACGTTTTTCTCGATTTAAAAACGCTCACAAACTGATACTTATCTCAAGATATAAAAATATTTATAAGAATTCAATTCTTAAATATCATATAAATAGGTTGTGAATACAAAATAAAATCAAAAAATTAAAGCAAACTATCCGTCTATCAATCTATTAATTAACCTATTTTGATTATTGTTTACAAACTATTGCTTAAAAGTTTTAAGTACCTTGAAACTGGTGAAAATATTACGAGAATTTTGTTGTTGTAAATGTACTATTGTTAAAAAGTATAGCTAATGTAATCATCTTATTATAACTAACTCCTCCATTGTCATGTAACTGCTGAACAATCCTAATTTCAGGTATAACACCAACTCAAACCCATCACCACCTCTACATATATAATAATATAGTACGTACTGATGATTACCGGAATTCAAAACGTGCATTTTCACATTGTTTCGATATTTTATTAGGCAAGCTCTCAGCCTTTGGAAGTTTAGTTCCTAAAGTAATTGCGTGCTCTTATAGGGCATAGGGGGCTTAGTTAGTTTTCAAAGACAGATTCATGCTTAGGGTTAGTAGTACTGTGACGCAGCTAATGAGCTCAAAACTAATCAGAAAATTTGGTATACCTCGTGGCATATATATGGTGACGACAGATTGATTTCCCCTGAAGATAAAGTGTGTTTGAATTCAACTTTTTGAACTATCTATATTTGAATGTTATTAGGAGCCGTCCTGATGCAAAAATACAAAAGGCCACGTCCTATCCATTTTTCCTCTTTTGGTCTTGACGAGCAGAGTCTAAAACACGAGGGCTTTACATTTATCCTCTCTGTCGTGTGCATGCTTCTCCATAAGTATTTCATTGAATTAATTAATCATGCCTCAATAAATTACTAATATTTGTTGTCCGCAACTTTTCAATTTCTAGCAGCTAGCATCTATCTTCAGAAAATGAAAACGTACGGGGGTTTCTTTTTACTAACCACTGATAGTCAACTTATAAGAAAATATGAATTTTCTTAGCTCAGGCTTCGGACCTAACTTTTGACTCCAAAAACTTTCACTTCACTATATAAGTGCTCCAACTCCCTCGTAACCTTAATTAGCAATAACATTTTGACATTGCTAGCTAGAGTTAGCAAGTCAACATTTTTAAAAATTGAAGATGGTGGGAGCCGATTTTAGAAGTGGTGGTGGCTGGAGAGAGATGAAGAGGTTTGGCTTGCAAGTTCTTTTGGGGCGGTGGTTCATGGTCTTTGCCTCATTCTTGATCATGGCCATGTCTGGTGCAACCTACATGTTTAGTCTGTACTCTGCTGACATCAAGAGATCGTTAGGCTATGACCAAACCACGCTCAATTTGCTTAGCTTCTTCAAGGACGTTGGTGGAAATGTTGGACTCCTGCCAGGGCTCATCAATGAAGTTTCACCTCCATGGGTGATTCTATCTGTAGGTGTGATCATGAATTTCTCCGGTTATTTCATGATTTGGCTTGCTATTACTCGTAAAATTGCCAAGCCAAAAGTTTGGCAGATGTGTCTTTATATTTGTATTGGGGCAAACTCACAGACATTTGCCACTACTGGAGCTTTAGTCACCTGTGTCAAGAACTTCCCAGAAAGCAGAGGAAGTGTTTTAGGCTTGCTGAAAGGGTTTGTTGGTCTAAGTGGTGCAATTATGACACAAGTTTACCATGCTTTCTATGGAGATGACTCGGAGTCTTTTATCTTGCTGATTGCTTGGCTTCCAGCTGCTGTTTCTTTGATCTTTCTTCGTACGATTCGGATCATGAAGATCGTTCGCCAAGAAAACGAGATCAAAGTTTTCTACAAACTCCTCTATATGTCGCTTGGCCTTGCCGGGTTTCTCATGGTTTTGATCATCATTCAAAACAAGTTCAGGTTTACCAGAATTGAGTATATTGCAAGTGCTATTGTTGTTCTTATTTTACTTTTTCTCCCTGTAGCCATAGCTATAAAGGAGGAATATGATATCTGGACGAGCAAAAAGGCAGCCTTGATTGACCCTTCTGAAGTAAAAATAGTGACCGAAAATAGACCAGTTGTAGAATTGCCACCATCAACACTGACATTAGAATCCAAAGCTTCTGGTCCAGCTGCAACTGCAGAGAAGCAAACTTCTTGCTTCGAAAATGTTTTTAAGCCACCAGAAAGAGGTGAAGACTACACCATATTGCAAGCACTTTTCAGCCTTGACATGTTGATACTCTTCATTGCAGCAACGTGTGGCATTGGCGGCACATTAACTGCAGTTGATAACCTGGGTCAAATTGGCCATTCACTAGGCTACCCGAGTCGTAGCATCACCACCTTCGTGTCACTTGTTAGCATCTGGAACTATCTTGGTCGAGTAGTTTCCGGTTTCGCCTCAGAAATCTTGCTGAAAAAGTACAAGATCCCTCGTCCTCTATTGCTTGCGATTGTTCTTCTCTTCACTTGTGTTGGCCATATTCTAATCGCCTTTCCTGCTCCAAATTCTCTTTACTTCGCATCAGTAATCCTCGGGTTCTGCTTTGGAGCACAATGGCCATTAATGTACGCCATCATATCTGAAATTTTTGGCCTCAAGTACTATTCCACGTTGTATAATTTTGGTGCTGTTGCTAGCCCTGTTGGTTCATATATTCTTAATGTGATAGTTGCTGGTAAATTATACGATAAAGAAGCATTAAAGCAAATGAAGGCTTTGGGTCTTAGAAGGAAAGCAGGCGAGGACTTGACATGCAACGGTGTGCAGTGTTATAGAATGTCTTCAATCATAATTACAGCAGCAACATTGTTTGGAAGCTTCGCTTCGTTTATTTTGACTCTTAGGACCAGAAAATTCTACAAAGGTGATATCTATAAGAAATTCAGAGATGCAGCCGAGGGTCCCGAGAATGTTACAGTTTCAACAACTGGAAATGGTACTGTACAATTGGGGGAGAGAAACTCTAAAGGCACAGGGAATCGTCAGTAGCTGGCTGCAGAAATGACACAACGCCACTTCCACCACAATAGTCAACATCGGTTCATAGATAGATTAACGTAATACATGATATTTGGTTGGAATTGGACTTGAACTCTTGCTTGTCAGCATGTCAAGTTAAAACAAAGGAAAAAAGAACTTGAGTTACGGCATTAATGTAATATTATGCTGGCCATCTCATCTCAATTTCAATTAGAAAAATTTGAGAATTCAGCATCCGCCAAAACACATAAACATTGTGGCCGCCGGTGTAAGTGTAAGGTCAGTTTGTTAAATAGACCAAAGTCTTAATTGACGCCTTCTTCTCTTAACTCTTCTTTCACATTACTCTGCTATGTAATGGCAGCAAGCTGTTAAAATTGACTTAGCTGTTGTTCTCTTCTAAGTTAATCCCCATTTTTTGGCTGCTCTGATATCCTTGTGAATTTCTAATTCTTTTTGTGGGTCACCATATAATTAGGAAAAAAAAAAAAAACAGGTCCAGTTTCTAGTAATGGAGATGTCCACTCTTTCTAAAACATCAAAAATAAAATCCTCTTAAATAAGTTTTGTGTGATTTCTCAGTCACCAAAGCGCTGATTTCTTAGCGAAGTTGGGTGGCTCTGCAACATATTGTTTGAGTATATCCTTTTGGGAGGTGCTATTAGCTGACTGGCTGAGTCTGATGAGACGCCCCTTAAATTTTTTATAATTTAAAAAGATGAAGTTTCCTCTATCTTTCTTTTTCTTCTTTTTGTATTGCTGTTGCTTGTAATAGCCAAATTAATACTTGATTCTTATAGCATTAATCTCCTGGAGCTTTTGCAGTTGAGAAGCGGAACTTACCGTGCATCTCCTTTATGGAAATATTCCAAAAACTGTTAGAATAATTCAGCCAAATGTTCAATGTATTTGAGAGAATTAGATAAAAACGAATAATTACCAATAAGCTAGCTCCCTTAAACAAAATCCGTGGGCAAAATTTTGTAATAGACGTATAGAGATTTGTTAGAAGAGATAAAAAAGAAAGCATGACAGATCTAATTAGAGAGATGAGAGGTAGAAAATATAATTTTTCCAATTGATAGAAAGCTCCAGCCTTGACTTATTTAGGATATATGGGTAACATGTTGTGCATCTTAGATAGGAGTATGACTACTAGAATTTTCTATCAACAAAATCACTTCAATATCCAAAACACACACACGCACACAATAAATAAATTGATTCATGAACAAATTGCTTTAGCATTTTGGCTTTTGGATGTCCTTAAATTTAGGATTTAAAAAGTTGTTTTTTTTTTTTTTTTTTTTTTTTTTTTTTATCTTATCTTTACTGTCATAAGTTCGGTATTTCTTATAAGCTTTTTTTTTTTTCAAAAAAAAAAAAAAAAAAAAAACGGGGCAAAAGCTCAAAGAAACTACAAAGAGAAACGTAGCTTGCTGGTAAAGTTATCCCAATCCTAACCGCTTAAAGTAGATCTGAACTGGACAAAATGTTAGGACCTAATGAAGCCTCATGTCCAAAATGGTCCATCTAGTTTGCACACTTCTTTTCCCTCACAAGTGTGAAAAATACTAGCTTCCCAAGGAGTTCGGTTTAAGAAGAGAATTGCTGCAACAAATTTCTTTGTATTCAACATGAAATTTGATAAATAGGAATGACACGTATTTCGTTTACGAATCTTACAAGTTTTTAACGAAAAAAGCATATCATTACAAATAATAATAATAATAATAATAAATCAATCAATCGTTAAATAAAAAGCAAATAGTGAGGGAATAGTGTTTATTAAACTAGCGACGTAAGAGAATTGCTTATCCATCGCTATTTTTAATGTCTGAATTTAGCAATGGATATCCATCGTCAATACAAACATTCCTAGCAAATTAGCGACAGGAATACCTATCACTAAAGGTGAAAATTTTGATGAACTTTTTAAAAGTCAAAACCATCAAATTAGGTACGGATTAAAGATGGACATTTACATCTCGTTGCTATAAGTAAAAAAATGGGCGCCCATTTTGAAAAGGATTAGCAACGAATGTAAGTGTTCGTTAGCTATGGATCCGCAAGGGGATCACATCCGTCCCTATTTTACAATCCCTAATTAACCCTTTTCTTCTTCCTCTTCTTCCATTTTCTTTTCTCTCTCCTTCTCCAACTAGCAACCGTCAGTCTCCCTCCTTCTAAACCACCACCAAACTCCACTCCTCCCGTGACATCCCTAACCTAGGACTCAAATAGGTCAAGGATATGACCGACGTTGACTTACATTCAAAGTGTAATGAATGCAAGCCAACAAGCCTCTTTCCTTAACATTCTCAAATTATTAGCAAAGTGAGCATTTTCGTATGATGTCCCTAATTAATATGATATAATAGGTCCACATTAAATAAAACTTAGGTATCAATTTTTTTTAAAAAAAAATTCAATAAAGCATTTAATAAATTCATTTAGACCTTTAACTAATATTTTGGTCACTTAAAACATTTTTTGGACTTAAGGAACTTTGGTTCCTAATTTATTTAAAACTAACCCATTAAATACATTTATTCCTTAATTATTAATTTCACTTTATGCCTTAACCTCACGTACCCTTTTATCATGCCATTTTAATTCCATTCTTTTTATCGGTAATTAATTAGTTACTAAATTATGTAACTATTTAGTTGTTACCTTCATTCAACTTTTAATTAATTCATTTCTATAACCAATTTGTTCATCTAAACCATATTAATTTACCAAGCTATGTAACTAAACAATCTTTGGCACCATATTAAACTTAACATCCAAACCATACCCTTTAATAATACAAACCATGTTTGCTTAACTTATAACCACTATACATCACTAAAAATTAAGTTAAGCAAAGTTAAGTTTCCTCACTCATTTTACATAGTATGCACACGCATGGCAAATCTTCAATATTTCTCGACGATAGTCTTTATTCATTTTTCTTTTATCCTCTACCATAAGAAACAAAGATCAGCAATGCCCCGTAAGTGTAATCCATGCAATGCATATTATGCATGTGGTGTATTTAAAAATTATTTTCGTGTCTTTTGAAATTCATTTTCCTCTTCGGATGCACCTTACCGATTGTGTATATAATTGACCATCATTTAAAATATGCAATTGTGAAAACTTCACAAAAGCACCGAGTGCCTTCTCATAACATTTTTCTTTACATATTAAGAGTATACACCATATCATTCTCTTAGCGTGTCATCATTTTCCTTTACTTGCTAAGAGTATACATCAAATCATTTCCTTAGCATATCCTAATTTTTCTTCACATACGAAGAGTATACACCGGATCATTCCATTGGTATGTCCTCATTTTCTTTGGAATGCTAAGAGTATACACCAAATTATTCTCTTAGTATGTTCTCATTTTCCTTCACATGCCAAGAGTATACACTAGATCATTCATTCGACATGTCATCGTTTTCCTTTACATACTTATACACCGAGATCATTCCCTTATGATGCCTTTTTCCTCAAGAGAGGGTGATTATTCCTCTCCTATAACCTTGAAAAGATACCTAGCCATTTTATTTTATTTTTTTGAAAACATTTCTTTTTCTTTTTTCCTTTTTTATCAAAATCATGAATGTAAAACATTTTGCATAATTATGATGTGCAAATGCATTTAAATATAAATGCAATGCATTAACATAAACCTCAACATTTATACTTTTAAACTTCAAGAAAATGTAATATATAAAAAAAATATCAAATGCATGTTCCACATAAACTAAGTAAGCATGCAAAACATGTCCGAACAATGAACATCAATCATGCCTTAAATGCACATTATGGTCGAATATTTAAGTAACATAATCCATCCATTTTCACATGATTACAATTATTTTTCATGCCATTTCATACCTCCAAATCTCAAAATTACATTAACCTCACATTACCCCTTTTTGCCTTTATTTTTCATTCTTAGCGAGAAATTGGCCAATGGAAGGACAATTTCTATTTCATCAATTTACCCAATTTTTCACCTATAACCTCTTAACCTTATATGTTTGTCATCATTTTAACATCAAGTAGGTTAAATTAATCAAGAAATCAAAACTTCATACTTGGCCAAAATTATCTAACAAAGTGACTATGTTTTAAGTTTTTCAATTCAACACCATTAACACCTTTAATGCATATCATCAAACACTTTGTAAATATTAGGTCTTATGACCACTAGTTTATTCATGTTTAAGGGTATCCACCTACCACATTCTAAGAACAAGGACAACCTTGAAACACATTCTTTTAATCCAATTAATCATCTAATCAACACAATTTCAATATCACAAATACATATTTATCATTCTAATCATCCAATTCAAACAACATCATAATATCTTCAACAATTCAACCATTAAACCTCAAGAAAATAAACTTTAAATTAACATCAATTATACATTAAAATCACTAATTTCTTATGGTATAGTGAGGATTACACTTACCTCACTTGAAGCTTGGCCAATCTTCCTCTTTCCCTCTTTGGTTCCTTCCTCCTATTTTCTTTTCAAAGTTTCGGCTAAAGTGGAACTTTTTTCACTTTCTTTGCTTGTTCTTCCAAACTGATTTTAGGGTAATTTTGGAGTTTTTCAAGGTTGTCGAAGATGGTTTGGTGTGTTAGTTTGGTGGCTTCTCTCTTGTTTGAACTCTCTCTCTTTGGTATGGCTTGTTTCCTCTAATTTTCCAACCTCTCCTTTCATCTTCTTCTTTCATATTTATAGCCAAGGATTTTCCTTAGGATTAAGCCAAGTGTGTCACACTTGGATTAATCTTAAAGTTGGTTATTAATGGCTTCTCTAGATTTTTTTTCTCTTTTTTTTTCCTTTTTTCTTAGATTTTTCTCTTTCTTTCTTCTCCTCTCCTCTCTTCATCGACTTTGTTCTTCTCTTTTTCTCTCCACTTTTTCAGAATTAGTCTCTCAAAATCAATTATTAAGTCCCCCAAAGCATCAACATTTTATAGTTTAGTCCCTAAACTTT